TAACTAAAATGTTAACATATCACCCTATATGCATTATTCAAATATTTATAAGGCCGGTTAGCTTTAATATAACAATTCAATGAAGCGTTATACCTTTCATAACTTGATTTGATTATTAAACCACACTTTACATAAGATTTACATAATATCATTTTATAATAGTTACTTGAATTACAAATACATTGTGTTAATATTATGGAAGGATAATAATTTATTATATATCAATGAAAATGTACAATTTAATTATTCCATAATGGTTAAGAGACGGGCTAATGCTGATAATGGGATACTCAATTAAACAAATATTATACTTTTTATACCCTAATTACATTATTATTAACTCAAATAATAATAATCTCATCAATTTTTATTACGCAAAAGTTCTATAAGGTTAGTTAACCTCTACATAAAAGTTTAATCAAATGTCAATACTTTTCTTAATTTGATTTTATTAGTACACCACTCATTATGGAAGATTAATGTAAGACCAGTCTATAATAGTTAGGTAAATCATAAGTAAAAATCTTAAATCTCATGGAGGGTGAGTTTTTTCTTACATATCAATATTAAACAAACATGTTAAATAATTTCACCTATAATTATGCAAAAAAAAAAAAAAATAGTACACTACTTAAAACTTAGGGCTAATACCACTACAGCACCTGAACTATGAACAAAATGTCACTTGTGTCCTATTCTTTCTAATATTCCATTTCTGTCCTGAACTATGATACTTTATGTCGTTTGTATCCTAACGATTTCGTTGACCGTTAAATCTAACGGTTGACCTGACGGCGGTCAAAATTATGTTGACTTTTGGTGACATGGCATCCACGTGGATTGACATGTCATTATTGTTCAAAATCAAATTATTAAAAGAAGTAAAATACAAAATTATTAAAAAAAATTAAAAAATGTCGCTGCTCCGCCCCAGCTCTACTCTCTCCGACGATTACCAGCTCCTTTTAACATCTCTCGAATCCGATCACATTGCCGCTCTGCCCGAGCTCTATTCTCACATGCTTCTACTTGATTCACTACCGTCAGCCTCCAATTGGGGAACTTGACAGCTGCCCACTTCAGCTCCTAGCCATTCTAGATCTGGGTTCCTGTAGATCTCGTGTACATCCGCCTTAAAATGCTCGATCCGAGTGACAAAGTGAGTTCCACCTCTCATTTCTCTGCTCCCTCCCCTGATCTCGATCTCAATGATTAAAGCAGCTAGCTAATCAAAGTTTATCTTTCTTTTCAGAAGTTGGGCTACGCCGACGATGAAGGCAGCCGGGGATCCTCGCCAACAATGAGTTCCACCCCTTCGCGACGATCGATTTTCGCAACGATCTCCGTCGTCGTCTCCTCGACGAGATGGGGAAACGAAAGGGAAGATAGAGGACCTTCGTCGTCTCCTCGATCGATTTTCGCGACGACCTCGTGGGCATTTTCAGCTTTGGAATTGATGTCGCCCCTTCACTTCATCTCGCCTCTGTTGGTGTGATTTCGGAACCTAGGTTCTGGTGTGGATTCTTTGCAGGTATATAGCTCGACGGATGGTGAAGGTGGTGGATTTGGTGAGTGTGTGTGGGGACTCGAAATTTGACGGCGCCGGATCTGTAGCAAGAGGTTGGAGGAGGAGGAGGTGATGGAGTTGAAGTAGTTGAAGATGAAATCGACGGTGATGGTCGGTTGGAAGAGAAGCGAGAGGTAGAAAGGGAAGGTGGAGGAAGGGTCTTTATTTTTATTTATTTTTTAAACGAGTTGGAAAATAAATAAAAATTGGATTAAAAAATTCCATGTAAGATGCCACGTCAACGCTGACTGGATTTTCTGTTAAAAACTAACGGTCAACACTGGTCAACACTAACAGATTAATAGTTTAGGACACAAATGGAATATTGGAAAGAATAGGACACAAGTGACATTTTGTTCATAGTTCGGGTGTTGTAGTCAGGGGCGTAGCCAGGAATTTTACTAAGGTGGGTCGAATAGTGACATAGGTCGTTGTGAACAACGAGCGGCAAGTAGCGATCGACAACCTATTTTAGAGGTTAGAAAATGTCATCACCGAATAAGCGCCATTTACCCAGAAGTCTATATGGGTTTGGGGTTGTTGGTATGTCGAGCGCAATACGATTCCCTTGTACTTGTGGAATTTTCTCTACCATCGGTCTACCTTGAAACCCTAGAAAGCTAAAGAAGATGAGAATATGAGAAATAGGGAAGGAAATGTGATTTGATCAAAATGGGGAACGACTACGGTGCTAATTGTACAATAGTTAGCACCGTCCTAACCAAGGGAAAAACTACTACTAGTTTGAATTAGTAGTGATTTAGCTTAGATGTTGTATTGATTTTATAATAATCCGTAGTAATTTTTGCTAGTTATCACGGTGCTAACCCCTATAAGGGTTAGCACCTAATCCCATTCCGATCAAAATGAAGTGACCAAAATAGTTCCGTTCTTTTCTCTGCGGCAGAAGCAAATTGTCTCTTGGGCTAGACTAATTTAAGCCCAATTCTTAAATGCCAGTCCATGCTTAACTTAAACGAAGCCCAATCCTCTTTAAGTAAAATGCCTGCACAGAAACTAAAGCAATTAATAAATGTTATAAGTCCAAGCAAATTATAAAACTATGTCGTATCAATAACAAAACTAAATTCCCTGACAGATGGTCTGCTCGATCAAAGTCTCCCCTGCAGGTTAGATTATGAAGAACATTAAAAACAGAGACAAATAAACCCTGCAATGAAATCACAAATAAAAGCAGTTTATGCCAGTGTGTTGCAGAGCCAAGGTGGTGCAGCCGACCCACCTTGGTCTGTTCTGGCTCCGCCCCTGGTTGTAGTGGTATTAGTCCTAAAACTTATGAATGGATGATTATTTCTTATATGTTAATTAAACACTCTTATTACATAAATGATTTATAACGATTAAGACACTACGTATAGCTTATGAAAGTATCTTATGTGAATGTTTTTTTTAATATTTGATTTCAAGTAAATCATTGAATAAGTTTATAAAATTTCAAATATAATTATTTTCTTATCGCAGCGAAGCGCGGGCCAAAAAACTAGTCTCAATTAAGACTCAAGTATAAACCTTAATCGGGTGCAATATAAGGCAAGTATGTTTAAATGTCAACCCGGGCCGTACCATATACCCCTATTTCAATTGTTTGAAACATAACCTAGCAATTGGTTTTTGGTGAAAACAACGATCTATAACTAAAACGTTTGGAAAAGTAAATGGATTGGACCCTAATTGAGAAGGCGTCACACGGGTGTTGCTCCCCCTAGCTAACAATAATGACTTGTCGGATCGAATGCATAGGTGTGGTAAAGACGGTTCTAAACCGTTGGGAAGTGCAACTAGTGAACCAATGCCACTCGTTTGGTCAATAGGCCAATGGATTCTGATCCAAGCTACCAAGGGTTGCCTAGACTTCACCCTCGAATCAGAGTTCGGACGACCAAATTACAACCAACCCTAGGTGCTAATACGAGAGGTTTGCCATAATTTAACCTAAGCAAGAGACAAAAATTGCCCAAAGAAATCCAGCTTTTACAAGCCTCTACTCAAAGGAGATTCCCCTCTACCTAGGTTAAAATAGCATAAGACATTTAAATGCATAAACACAATCAATCTTCATGAAAATAGCTCATAACTTTGTATTAAAACACAGCCACACACTAATCGTTCAATCAATACAAACATTCACATTATTGTAGTTAGGGTTTACACACACCCATAGTTAAAGGCAAATAAAAAAAAATTGTTAGACTAATGTGGTAGTAGTGGATTTTGATGGTTCATAGATGTTAACAACTAACCACAAAACTAGTATTTTGCTAATCATACACAATTAGGGATGGCAATGGGTCGGGTTGGGGACGGATAGTGCATATCCGTTACCCTACCCAAAGTAGTTCGGGTTTTACTCATACCCATACCCACATATGAAACGGGTAGAAAATTAAAACCATGCCCATACCCGTTCGGGTTTCGGGTGTCCACGGTTATCCATGGGTAATGATTTCTCTTCATAACTCCAACTAATATATTAACATTCACACGTATTCTCACATTACGCAAGAGGAAAAGTATGACAATAATTCACTAGAATGAAGAAAATTAATTAAAACAACACAATTTCATGAAAATATTATATTTATATGCTAAATATAAAATATGTTAGAGAAAAATAATGACTATTTCTAGACAAAATACATATGTATGTGTATAATCGGGCGGGTTCGGGTTGGATACTGAGAAACCCATGCCCACCCATTACCCACAATGTTCGGGTTCGGGTTTTACCCGTACCCACTAAATGTCCTTCGGGTTCGAATTTTACCATACCCGATTAGACCGGGTTCGGGCGGATATCCACGGTTACGGATATTTTTGCCATCCCTACACGCAATCCGTTATTTACTCGCAATCCACAAACTATGAATATGTTTAACCACATTGTGTATATTTTGATACGATTTATTAGTTACTTCAAACCGCAAACCAAACTCCACTCATCCCTTACTACGGTTGGAGGCGAAAGTTTTCAAAGCCCTGCTGTACAGAGCTCATAGTTCCTCTCTCCCAAGAACACCAACCAAAATTTAAAAGTGGTACTCGGAAGGTTCAGAAGAATATTTCTGTCTGTCCTTTGAAGCAAAATCGGGTTGACGGAATCGGCTGGCCTTCGCTTGTCATATCTCTTTCGCGTGTTCTTCCATCCATGAATCCTTCGATTAAACTAAACAAAGAAAACTCCGCCAACTCCCTCTCCATTTTTCTCCCCTCCAGTTGTTGCTCTCGCGAGAACCTCCCCTTAACTACCTGCTCTTGTGACATTCCAACTACAAACTTCACCCTTGTCCTCCTATTCAAATCTCTACCTTCGTTTTCTTCTGGGGGGCATTCCCCCTCTCTTCTCCACCTTTCCTAACGTCTCCCGTCATTCCGTTGGGTTGGGGTTTTTTTCATCAAGTTTTGCTGGTCAGAAATGGAGATCAGGAATTGGATATTCGCTTTGATTCTGTGTCACGCCGCTCTTGTATTGACGAGTTGCGCTGTGGAGCTGGCCAGGAGTCCGCCCACCGAGAGGATTTCAGGTTCGGGTTTTCCTTTTCCTTTTTCTTTGGATTTCCGATTTCATTTTCTTGTGGGTCTTTTTATAAATGCAGCTGTTCCTTTGCGGTCAATTGAATTTCGTGATAGTTTCCCTTTCCGCCGATGTTAAATCGGGTCAAGTTTGAACTTTGGTTGATGGGTTGTCCGAAGTTATGGTAGATTTCAAGTATCTAAGGGTTTGATGGAAATCTATTGCTGCCGGTTACAGTTCCGTTCCTAGTATTTAGATAGCGAGGTCATACCCCGTTCCTTATTTGACTGTGTCGACTGTTCCCTTTAGTTTCTGATAAAGCTCTGATCTTTTCTAGGCTTAGGTTTAGTAATGTATCTGATAGAGCAAACTTTGAAGTGTATGATGAATTAAAGAGCCTTTGTTAACCTTTGGAGCTGAATTGTTGCCATTCCAAATTTTGCCTGCAAATGGTTAGTTGAAACAGATTAGACTGATTGTCGTTGAGGTAGTAACTAAACTGGATTGGTAGGAACTTGGTGCTTATGTTTTGCGGCTGTAATTTGACTTCAGTTTGACCTAGTTTTAAGACAGCAAGGAATATGGATATGGGTTGGTTTTGCTTTGTTCATATTTTGCTGATAGTGAAGTGAAGAGCTCAGGGAAATCACTGGGATGGGTCATTCCCCTTCCTTCTGGCTTTTCTTGAATTTCATGGGGACTGGTACCATCTTATCCATGGAACTAGTGTTTGCTAACGCTTTGGCATTGATTGGGAAATAGTGTTGTGTTTTGTTTCTTTGCTCCACTGCTGGTGAAAGTTTCCTGCTTTATAACTAAGTAAAGCTAAATATTTTTAATGGCGTCCAGGTAGTGCTGGGGATGTTTTGGAGGATGATCCAGTTGGAAGGTTGAAAGTGTTTGTTTATGAACTTCCCAGCAAATACAACAAGAAGATTCTGCAGAAAGATCAAAGATGCCTTAATCACATGTTTGCAGCTGAGATTTATATGCACCGTTTTCTTCTGTCTAGCCCAGTTCGAACCCTCAATCCTGCAGAAGCTGATTGGTTTTATACCCCTGTGTACACCACCTGTGACTTGACACCCAATGGCCTTCCTTTGCCTTTTAAGTCACCAAGAATGATGAGAAGTGCAATACAGCTAATTTCTTCCAACTGGCCTTATTGGAATAGAACTGAAGGAGCTGATCACTTTTTTGTTGTGCCCCATGACTTTGGAGCATGCTTCCACTATCAAGTGAGTATACCTCTTCTTTCTTCTCATCTTGTGTTTCACCACAAATAGAACAAAAAGAAGTGTGTTGAACTCTGTTTTCATTGTTCTATATGGTTGCTCTCAGGAAGAGAAGGCAATTGAAAGAGGAATTCTCACGATGCTTCGACGAGCTACCTTGGTGCAGACATTTGGCCAGCGGAATCATGTTTGCTTAAAAGAGGGATCTATCACTGTTCCACCATACGCTCCTCCCCAAAAGATGCAATCCCATCTCATCCCAGAGAGAACTCCTAGAGCTATCTTTGTGTACTTCAGGGGGTTGTTTTATGATGTGGGAAACGACCCAGAAGGTGGCTACTATGCAAGGTAATACTTATACAATACCTGTCTTATACTTATTTCGAAATTACTATTGGTTTTAGATACTCTGCATTCTCAATGACTTGCATATAAAAGATTGTAAGCACAGGAGAGCACTGACCATAGATTCTGTTGTTCCAAACTTACTACAGAGGTGCGCGTGCAGCAGTGTGGGAGAACTTCAAAGACAATCCACTGTTCGACATATCCACAGAACACCCTACCACGTACTATGAAGACATGCAACGAGCGGTCTTCTGTCTATGTCCACTTGGGTGGGCGCCATGGAGCCCGAGGTTGGTTGAAGCGGTGGTCTTTGGTTGTATCCCAGTGATCATAGCTGATGACATCGTCCTTCCTTTCGCCGATGCAATCCCATGGGAAGAGATCGGAGTGTTTGTTGATGAGAAAGATGTTCCGAACTTGGACACCATCCTCACTTCGATCCCACCGGAGGTGATACTCAGGAAACAGAGACTGCTTGCGAACCCTTCGATGAAGCAGGCAATGTTGTTCCCTCAACCAGCACAACCGGGAGATGCGTTCCATCAGGTCCTGAATGGACTGGCACGAAAACTGCCGCATGACAAGAGCGTCTACTTGGCCCCCGGAGAGAAGGTTTTGAACTGGACTGCGGGTCCTCTTGGTGATCTTAAACCTTGGTAGCTGCTGTTTCAAATTAAATGAAATGTAAATTTGTTTTCTGGTCGTTATAGATTTTGCTTATACTTGCTGGGGATTATGCAGTTTCTGTATTGAGGTTGAGTTTACCATAATTTTTGCTTTAGTGGAGGAAACTTAAAACTCAGGGCTTGGTTTTATTTTCTCTTGGGGGTCGTTTGGATCCAGAAATCTAGATAGGGAATTGGCCCAAATCCTGGCCCATCCAGGATTTTAATAGATTATATTGTTTGGGTTGGTGTCCAATAATGCAGGAATTGGTCCATGCCGGTTTTTTAAATCCGGCCCAGCCCGGAATTAGAAATAGCCGGCCACCCCCAGGTATTTTAAAATCCGACCCCAATTTTATTGTTTTTGCCCAGCGTGTTCTTGCTTCTTTTTCGTTAATCTAATTTTACCCTTCACCACATTTTCACAGACTTACCTCATTCTTCGAATCAAATCGTGATGGCTCTCCCCAACCTACCTCCGCGATAGAACTCCTTTGATTTCCCGACTAGAGGAGGGTGAGTGGCTGATCTTGGCGGCGACGGAAGTGAGGGTGAGCGGTTGATCTTTCATTCTTCAACAGGCGCGACTTCTGCGAGAAGATTCAGGTTTGTTATCTTCTGTTGCTGCTGAAAGTTTGGTGCGATTTCTAGGGTGATTAGAACGATGTGTTTCCAGATCCAGGCGGGTTCTCCTCAGCCAGCGGTACCCCCCGGCTCCTGAGAGAGCTGTACTCTTCATCATTCTCATGGTGGATTTTGAATTTTGAATGGGTCTTTAATTAGAAGGGTAAGAAGTACCCAGAAACAAAAAGTGATTAATGGTTTTGAATGGGTCTCTAATCAGAGATTTGCTACGCTATTGATAACCTAACATAGAAAATCCATTTTAGCTTTGCAAACCCACCAATCGATAGTTTATTCCACTTACAGGAAGATAAAAGGATTTGATTGATTGTTTTGTTTTTTTGTGAATGAACCGCAACTTATTATTGTTGTTTCAGTTTATTCTATCAGCATCTTATTATTTTTGTTTTTACCTGCCCTTATAAGGATGGCTCGTCTGTCAAGCATGTCTTCATTAGAAAGGCGAAAGATTATGGCGGCGATTAGCGCATTTTGGAATCTGTTAGTTATGTATATCGATTTGGGAATGGAACTAACAAGGCTCCTACATCCAAAGCACTTAAATCCCAGAATTGGTAGGCAGCCCATTGATGGGTACATTGTTAGGCACTACGATAGGCAGAGGTTCCTCTACCGATGTACGGAAAGTAGTGATACGGAAAGCCATAGGAAGATTAGAATGAACCGCAACCTATTCAAAACTCTATGTGAACTACTAGTTGCCAAAGGGCGTCTTACAAAGACGAGAAATGTAGAAATAGAGGAAATGGTACTTACCTTCCTACTTACCCTTTCTCATAGCGATAAGAATAGGAGCATAGCTGTAGATCTTAGGAGGTCTATAGAGACCATATACCGGTCATTCTGAAACACCCTAACCCGGCCGGGTACTACTTTTACTAAAATGCCATTGATAAATAAAATATTCAAATCCTAAATTGCAGCGGAAAAAATTTTCATAAATAAAATACTGAAAACACACACTTGTAGCTCAGAGCAAAGCCCTAACACGTGGGCAAATTAAACTCAAACTTTAAAATCTCAATCTGATCTCCAGTCTATACTCATAATCATAAATGTAAATAACTAATAATCTCTAATGTTGTTGCTACTGAAACCTTGACTAAGCATACTCTGTGACGCTTATACTGCCCTCCTCTAGCTGCCTGCCCTCGAATTCGCTGCTCACTAAATGCTCTTCTAGCTCTTCCTCTAGCTCTTCAAACTGGTGAGTGAGACGGGGTCAGTCTACGCCCTTACGTTTAAAATTCTTACTGCTTAGTACTTTACTTAACACACTTACTTAAATTTGTGGAAGTTGTTTGTACTTCCACTCTTAAAACTGTATGGGAGTTACTGTTACTCTCCATTCTTAAAGCTCAAATCTCGACTTAAATATTTGACTGACACTGGGATCCCTCACTAGCTAGTCCGGTTGCCAACTCATACGTATGAGAAGCCATCAAGGCTTTCCTTAAACTTAAACTTAGTTAGGGGAGTCGTGACGATTCATCCCCCTAACATCTTAAACTTATCGTGGTGGCTCTTCACCACGATTCTTAAGAGCATAACTGCTGCTCTGTCTCAAAGATCTCAAGAGCATAACTGCTGCTCTATCTGAAAATCTCAAATGGCAACGGACTGGCGCTAGTGACTAAAAACACTTAAAACGACTTCACCTTCTTGAAGGTGAGTTACTTCTTAAAAAGAACTTGTTTCTTAAACTTTAACAATAACTCAAACATAACGCTTTAAGGTAAATAGCACAAAATCACCTCAAATCATAGCTCAAGCAAAGCACAAATAATCAATCATAAACATAACCAAGCAACGGGACCAATTCGCTAAAATACTTAAAATCATAATACTTAAAAGAATACGTAAGGCATAGAATTTACCCCCTTTATACTCACTTTATTGATCAGGTCGACTTGGCTTGAGCAGCTAACCACCCTCCAACGACAATCGCTTTACCATAGTCTTTTGCAAAATCCACGCGGGCTCTGCTTGCTTAAGCAGGTAATAGAGAGGCATCCGATTATGGTAGGTAGAGAGGCATCTGATGATGGCCACGCAATCACATCCCAAACGCCCTCGTCCACAATGCACCGATAATGGTCCTGCTTGCTTTCACTTAATAATCATGCTTAGAGGCCCAGCACTCATCCTGCCACTATCCCAAGCAGGCAGCTCTCACCCATTGGAAGCATCGTCCTGGAAATTGCAGTACCGCGCCACCAAGCTGCTCTCGTAGCACCAGTTCGCAGATTTGATTCTTCCCAAGAGCAAGTCTTCCATCGCCACGATGAGACGAGCTTGGTTAAGCAAGCACCTCTCGTAGTAGGGGGGATGATGATGCTCTTTGTCCTTTGGGCGTTGATTTGGCTGCCATTTCCCGGATTCGGTGGATAAGAGCGCCGCGAGTGTATATTGCCGAGTAGGGTAAGGCTCTAGGGTCTTAATTAGTCCAAGAGTACTTGATTAATGTCCGTAACTTTCTCAATTTATGTCGAAATTCGACACCGCTTGAACCGATAGTTCACATTTTTAGTCCTCATCGATGATACGGAGGAACTTGACCCAAGGGTATAATAGTCATTTTGACTTTTGGGAAGAGCGGGGTGTAACATTTCCATGAAATTTGATCGAGCTCATCCTTCCATACTCCTCATTCTCGTGCTTCTTTGGGTCAAGATTTCACTCTTGCTATATGAACTTCAATTGCGTGCCCTTACCTTGTCTTGAATAGATTACTATAGTTCTTAGGTTAAATACATTTGTATATCCAAAACTTTCACGGTTATGCCAATAATATCCAAATTTCCCGAAATACCACTTATATCCAATTCCTTCACATTCTTTAACGGTGTTTTTGGATATAAAAGTGTATTTAACCAAAAATATATTCGAAAATGGATAGATTTGGCAAAGAACAACTTTAAAACATGGATATAATTGGTATTCCGGGAAATTTGGATATTATTGGCACAACCGTGAAAGTTTTGGATATACAAGTGTATTAAACCTAGTTCTTATTTGTACTCTTGACAACAAAAGGTATTCTCATCTAGCTCGGTAGCATCGAATAGGTTTGAGTGACTCATTGCCCTTTTCAAAATTTTCCAACTTGGGCCTAGTACCTGATGTTGAACCTATCAAAGTCGAGGTATCACATTTCCGCCCCACTTATAGAAATTTCGCCCTCGAAATTTGTCCACTGTGATTACCCTAAGCATCGCTTGTGGTAATCCTTTTCACTTCGCGGATTTTTTTAATTTCCTTTAACTTATACGACATGACCTAGAATCCTTCTCTCCATTCCCTGCAACTTCAATGTTGTTGTGGCTTCTTAACACCTCACATTACCTCGGCCGCACCTTGTACATATATAGGGACGATAACTATCCATTGTTTGGTATACGAGACGTTAATGCTCCTCTTGAACCCCAGGGTTACATATGGCGGCTTATCCTCTATCCCATTAGATGGTAAAATTCCTTTAGCGTAATTCTCGTCCGGAGTTGACCTCATAGGTCACCTAGGTCCTTGTATCTCCTAACTCTGCATCTCTTACTTTCTTCCTCAATGCCTCGTCTTATCCCTTAACCATAAACTGAATGGTCACCGCCTCCTTACTTGCTGCTTAGTGTTGGAACCTCATACTACTGTTTCTACTTCCTGTATGCATTAGAGGCATCCTTTGCGTCTTTCTCTAGCTTGCTTTATGAATCCTTTCCAGAATCATGACCTCCCATTTTGCGTACTTGCTCACTCCTGGCACCTAACTTAACACTTCCTTATCATCGCTTGACTTGGGAGTTCTCGTACGATCTCTTCTATTGTTCTTTGACCTTGCCTGAAATTCCTCGTACAGTTTCCCCGTCCAAGAAATTTTCACCCGAGAGATTGCCACATTTCACCGTCATAGGTGGTATTGATTTCACTTTAGGGTATCCTAGCAGGTTCGCTAAACTCATATCCATCTTACTTCTTTACTCGTGACTCCTCTTACCGATGTTTCTCTCTAGTTCTATATGTCCCTCGTCCTCGATGTAGTCATCTTGGTGCCCATATTCTCTTCTCATTTATGTACCTTGACCGATAAGGTTTTCCCTTCGACCGTTCTGGACCACCACACTTCTACTTTAAAGGTGACCATTGAGCTTCTCCATTTTTTATGGGCTTCCTATGGTCCAACTTATTCTCCACTGGCAATTACCTTCACGCCTCCTTGTTGACCTTCGTATTCTTTCGTCGGCTCTTCCTAACTATCTTTCTCCCTGAATTTGTCGTTTTATCAACTACCACCCTTTTCACCATAACTTCCATTATAGCTTGTGGTTTCCTCCTTACTTCCACAACTCCTTCATCGATGCTTGGTACTAGCTTTGATATACTCTGTTTAGTAGCTCCTCACATACCTCAGAGCCAACATTTCCACTAGAAACTTTCTCTAGGTAGACTTGACAGATGACGCCCACGACTTCTACTCACGATGGTGCTTGACCACGTCCCAACTATCTTCATTCACGCATTCATTGTCCGGTCGACAACCACATTTTTTTTATTTTATTTCCTATAACATCCTATGGTGTTCTCCTTGCTTCTTTACTTTTACTACCCTTCTGTTGATACTTTGTACTATTTTCGGTCGCCAAACTCTGTTGAGTATCTTCTCGTTGTTGTTTTGGGTCAACGCTTCCAATAGTGGCTTGCCTTTGGTAGACTTGAACATACCTCATCCACGTCTTTTGTCTCGACCGATGCCTGTACATAGCCTTAATCTCTTAGTCATGGCTCTTAGTGGCTTAACTAAACGTGCATGTTTCATCATTAACTAGTTGTCCCCTCTGGAGCCCTCCTACCATGCCGCGCCCACTCAGAGTGGGGCACCTTGGATAAGGTAACTTCTCTTTTTCCTCCTTCTTGGTAATGCTTTCCCTCATCGTACCTCTTTGTGCAGCTTCTTGACCTCGAGTCACCTGAGACTTGACCCATTGACTTCCTGAAATCTCGTCAAACTCCCTCTGGCCTTTTTGCTCTTCCTTGGTATTGTTCGCAAACTCACTTCATTACGACCGTTTAGACTCTTCCTCGAATTCTCCAACTTTCATTAGAACTTATAATGAACGTTGTACTTGCTTGTCTATACCCTGTTGATTGAATGATTTACTTCTACGGCTGGTTCCGAGACCTCAGCTCTTAGCCCTCTAGTTCCAACTTAGTAGAGAGGTTCCTCCTTCTGTCACCCCTCATGTACCCTAGGCGTCTAGGTGATCCCTCCATTTAGGATAGGACAATCCCATAACAGATCATCGTGAACTCTTGCATTCCCCTTTCAACGGTCCTAAAATCCTCTTGACCTTTTGTGATCTAGGTAGTTTGTGAGATCTCTAATATCCTCTTTCTAATTTGGTGTTATCTTGGTATCCAACTCACGCACTGCTGAGAAGTGGTTCTCTGTTCGTACTGCCATTTACTAGCTAAATGTTATTCCCTCTCACATTCCATGTCTTTTCTTATGTATTGACTCCCCACTGCCTTCTACCAGGCATGCTTTAGACTTTGGTGGCACTTTCCTCCACGTCTCGTCCAATGGTGGTCATACTGAGACCATAACTTGTCTTCTACATCATTTATCTCGTTGCTTGTCTTGTTTCTTTAAAAGGCTTGTCATCGGCCTAACTCCCCAGGGTCATGTACCCTCTTCTGTAGTGACGTAGTTTATGTATAAGGGTTCCTTTGTCATCATATGTAAATGACCATGCCTTATCTTTGCCTTGACTTATTGACTTCTTGACGTCCTTACATACTCCTTATAACCTACTTATTTCCTCCTTCGCTTCCTTTATACTACCCTAGCATTCCTTAAAGTCTAAACATTCCTCTGCTCCTTGTCACTTTGTTGTAATGGCGTTGAGCCATCGACCACAAAAACTAGCTGAGGGACTTCTCGGGGTACCTCTTCGTTTCTTGACCCGTTGCCCACTTTCCACTGCTTAGGACCAAAGACCCACCCTAACATCATCCTATTATCATAGCTACTGGCATCTGGTGATTGTTCCTCTTCCTTTGGAGATTCATATTTCTCCCCTTTGTTTGTCTTAGCTTATTAGATCATCCACTTGTTTCCTAGTAGTAAAATCCTCGTACTACTCTCTCATCTCCTTCAAATCCTTGAGGTATTCCCTTTCAATTGGCACCTCTTTGCTGGTGTTTGGAGTTGAAGTCCTCGCACATTTGATTCTACCTCCACCGACCTTTGCCACGTTCCTCCTTCCTTCTCTAGGTTGATGACGATGATCTGTTTGCTAACGTCCGAGTAGTTGATTAACTAATTCAAAAACTACTATCCATCATGTCGATGAGATACTTGATCTTGAGAGCCTTTGAGATTCTACTTGGGTTGGTCACGTTTCTTTTACCCTTTCTTTCTTTCTAGCGATGACCATATGCCTAAATCTCTCATTTGACAAACCATGACATGTTAACTAAATCGCGTCCCAGCCTATTCTTAAACAATCGCACCCCGGGCTACCATCCCTTCGTGCCGTGCTGTCATAGTTATTCACCTTAATATGACTAGAGTAGACTGGAGATTCTTTAAACTCTTAAAAGAAGATCCTTGACTCGTTTTCCTTTCCTTTAAAACAAAAGCCTTTAAAACTGAGACCGATATTCCAGTATTTCTTGGAGACCAAGGAACAGAGGAAGACCGGCTCTGATACCAAAATGAAACACCCTAACCAGGCCGGGTACTACTTTTACTAAAATGCCATTGATAAATAAAATACTCAAATCCTAAATTGCAGCGGGAAAAATTTTCATAAATAAAATACTGAAAACACACACTTGTAGCTCAGAGCAAAGCCCTAACACGTGGGCAAATTAAACTCAAACTTTATAATCTCAATCTGATCTCCAGTCTATACTCATAATCATAAATGTAAATAACTAATAATCTCTAATGTTGTTGCTACTGAAACCTTGACTAAGCATCCTCTATGACGCTTATACTACCCTCCTCTAGCTGCCTGCCCTCGAATTCGCTGCTCACTAAATGCTCCTCTAGCTCTTCCTCTAGCTCTTCAAACTGGTGAGTGAGATGAGGCCAGTCTACGCCCTTACGTTTAAAATTCTTACTGCTTAGTACTTACTTAAAACACTTACTTAAATTTGTGGAAGTTGTTTGTAGTTCCACTCTTAAAACTGTATGAGAGTTACTGTTACTCTCCATTCTTAAAGCTCAAATCTCGACTTAAATATTTGACTGACACTGGGATCCCTCACTAGCTAGTCCGATTGCCAACTCATACGTATGAGAAGCCATCAAGGCTTTCCTTAAACTTAAACTTAGTTAGGGGAGTCGTAACGATTCATCCCCCTAACATCTTAAACTTATCGTGGTGGCTCTTCACCACGATTCTCAAGAGCATAATTGCTGCTCATCTTAAAAGTCTCAAGAGCATAACTGCTGCTCTATCTGAAAATCTCAAATGGCAACGGACTGGCGCTAGTGACTAAAAACTCTTAAAACGACTTCACCTTCTTGAAGGTGAGTTACTTCTTAAAAAGAACTTATTTCTTAAACTTTAACAATAACTCAAACATAACGCTTTAAGGTAAATAGCACAAAATCCCCTCAAATAGCACAAAATCACCTCAAATCCAAAGCACAAATAATCAATCATAAACATAACCAAGCAACGATAACCAATTCGCTAAAATACTTTAAATCATAATACTTAAAAGAATACGTAAGGCGTAGAATTTACCCCCTTTACACTCACCTTATTGATCAGGTCGACTTGGCTTGAGCTAACCACCCTCCAAAGACGATCGCTTACCATAGTCTTTTGCAAAATCCACGCGGGCTCTAATCTTTATCCCTCCTACTTGCTTAACCGCTTACAGCCCGCCTCCTGCTTGCTTAAGCAGGTAGAGGCATCCGATAATGGCCACGCAATCACGTCCCAAATGCCCTCGTCCACGTACGCATCGATATTGGCCCTGCTTGCTTCACCTTTAATGATCCTGCTTTGCTTAAGCAGGTAACTGACGTAGTAGAGAGGCATCCAATGCACGCAATTCGTCCGAAACACACCGATAATGGTCCTGCTTGCTTGACTTAATGACCCTGCTTGCTTAAGGAGGTAGCTGACGTAGTAGAGAGGCCCAACACTCATCCTGCCATTATCCTAGAAATTGTAGTACCGCGCACCAGACTGCTCTCCTAGCACCGGTTCAGAGATTTGATACTTCCCGAGAGCAAGTCTTCCATCGCCACCATACCAACGACGAAACGAGCTTGGTTAAGCAAGCACCTCTCATAGTAGAGGGGATGATGATGCTCTTTGCCTTTGGGCGCCGCTTTTGCTGCCATTTCGCAAGAGCCTTTCGGTGGAGAAAAGGGCTGCGCCACCAGGCTGCTCTCGTAGCACCGGTTCGCAGATTTGATACTTCCCGAGAGCAAGTCTTCCATCGCCACATACCAACGATGAGACGACAAGCACCTCTCATAGTAGAGGGGATGATGATGCTCTCTGCCTTTGGGCGCCACTTTAGTTTTGGTGGAGAAAAGGGCTGCGAGGGTTTATTTTGTTTGGGAGTTGCCGAGTAGGGTAAGGCTCTAGGGTTTTAATTAGTCCAAGAGTACTTGTGGAAATTCACACCTGCGAGTGAGTTTAATCTGAAACTCAATTAATATCTGTAACTTGATCCAGCGATGATACGGCGGAACTTGATCCAGGGGTATAATAGTCATTTTGACTTTTAGGAAGAGTGGGGTGTAACACATTCCATCGCGTGTTGCGGGCAATTCTAAGGCTGAATAAGATGCTCATGAAGAAGCCCGAACCAATTCCAGCTGACTTAACCAACAATAGGTGGAAATACTTTAAGGTTAGCAATTCAATGAACTTAATTTGAAAATCAAATTCAACTCACCAATTAACTTTCTTTGTCTAAAACCACTTATCCTTTATTGGCGTAGAGTTGCTTAGGAGCACTTGATGGCACTCACATTGATGCCAATCCACTAAAGGAAGAACAAACAAAGTATCGAGATAGGAGTGGAGATCTGACAATAAATTGTCTGGAAGTGTGCACACTGAACTTGGAGTTCATTTACTACCTCGCTGGTTGGGAAGGATCTGCACATGATGCACGTGTGTTAAGGGATGCTTTGAATAGGCCAAATGGACTTTTTGTGCCTCAAGGTAATAGGTGTACCTAATAGGTTAAGGTTCTTGTTCTAATCATTGAATTATGTCTAATGAGGGTTACTTCTTTTACTAGGATGTTACTATTTATGTGATCATGGTTATGGCAACATTCCTGGGTTCTTGACCCCCATCCGGGGCCAAGATACCATGTTGATGGACAACAACGTCTTCCTTTAACCGCTGAGGCATACTACAATTGGAGGCATGCACAAGCTAGGAACGTTATTGAACGAATTCTTGGCATCATGAAGATGAGATTGGCGATTCTTAGAGATGGAACTTGGTTTTCTATACCGGTTGTCGCACAGATCATTGTAGCCTGCTGTTTGCTCCATAATTACATTAAAAGGGAACATGGTGCTGACATTTATGAAAGAACTTACCGAGATCAAGCAACTTTGGAACCTGAAGTTGTTGAAGTTGAACATGCTGGTATTTTTGGAACCGACCGAATGAAGCATGGAATCAGTTTAGGAATGATATTATGGCCGAAATGTGGTAGAATAGGCCGGCCAGATTTAGGTCTCAGTAGGATGTAGTGTTCTTGTTTGTTTGTAATGTTGCTGGTACTGTGTAATGATTGAGTTCTTTGTATTTTCTGATTTATTTTGTACTGTGACGAGCTAGGTTAGCTCGATTAACGCGCAACCACAAGTTAGGTTTCAAGTTCAAGAAGAGAACTCAAACCAGAGTTCGATGAGATTGATGATGATAGGATGGATTCGTCATGCAAATTCACACATAGGGAAAGGCTTGAACTAAATAAGATAGATGCCCGACCACAACCAACACATTCTTGATCGATACAGAGCTCACGAGTTTGAAATCCACCAAAATCAACACAAGAGCACAATGTGAAACTTGCAAACTTTAGGGTTTTGGTTAATCCAAAAATAGTCTGGGTTTACAATGCAATTCGAGCCCTATAAATAGGCTGAATCTCGACTGAACTCTAAACTAACAAGGAAAGAACAATTAAATAAACAACCGTCTAGATATCCTACACAAACTAGGAAACTTCAGACTTACGTAAACTACTTCCTACACAAGTAACAATTCTGTTTTGACTTGGCCACTTTGCACATCTGGACCAGGACCTTCCAAGCTTCAATTCGATCACCCAATGCCTTCTCGTGGTTTATCATACTTATAGCTTCTTTGAAATATCACGAGCTCCTCATGGGTGCACTCCAATGCCAAGTTATGGCCTCTCAAAGTAGGCTTCGTGAAACTGCCTAATGCCTTGGCGAAATCTAGGCAGTTTCCCTGCTTCTTCATAGCCTTTTGGTGGCTTTGGAAAATGATGTCCAAGACTTGTTTCTGAGAAATCTATCCTTCCATCCTGTAGAAAAACATTTGAACTTCACCTTCCAACCTTCCTTTTGCATTTTCACCGAGCCATTTGTAAGAACCAGACTTGCAAAGTAGGGACTATGAAACAACATCAACACTTAGCCAAAGTTTGGGTTTCTTTTTGCTAATTGGGATGGCTTCTTTGTAAAATAATTCAGACTTGTGGGATGGCCTGTTTGGGATCATATCATGTCCATTGGTGACACAGTTCGTCAGGAGTTGGTCATTCAAAATGAAATGTGGTTTTTCTCTCTCTCTCTGTTATCCTCTTTGTTGGGTTCTTTCTTAGTATTGTTGTTGTTGAGTTGGTTTTGCCTTTTCCTTTTGATGCCAATCATGTGAAGCTAGAGGTGATACTTTGGGGGTGAGATAGTTGGTCTGTTGATGGTGAGGAGTTGGCGTATCTTGGCCGTTTTGGTGTTGTTGTTCTTGCCATTGGTGGTGTTAGGGTTACTGGTGCTACGAAAGGTTGGTCTATTCTTCGTTTCTTTATTTTTAGTGGGTTAAAAGTGTGGAATGTGTTGTTTTGTCTGCTCATATGTTTTTTGTGTTTATTTTTTGTTTGAAAGAGGGATTTATGTTAGTGGAGTACTCCTGGTACGCAGTGTTTGGTTGATCCTATGTCTGAAATGGCTAAGATGGTTTGGTGTTTCAGTATTATCCTTCCAGGTTTCCTACTCTTAATGAGGCAGGTGCTTTTCATGCTGATTGTAGAAAGACAGTGGAATAATTGGAATCTATGTGTAGTCGTGGTGTTGCTGATGTATGTTTGTGTTTTATTAGTGCTTTTGTTTGTTTGTTTTTTTTTCCTTTTTTCCAATTAGTTCGTTGTATGTTTGATTTTTTTTGTGTAAAAGATGTTGCCACTTATTGTGGTTTTGCCGGTATATGTTGTTGTGAACGCAATACTCGGTACTATTGTTCTGCTCAAATTATTTCCATTGACTCCTCCAATAAATGGTATTGTTTGGACGCATCTTTTGTTCGTAGGCAGTTAGGGAGTATGATGGTGGTGATTATTAATGCGATGAGCATTCTCGTGTTAGTCTCCAGCAGACACGAATTTGGTATTTCATTTCTTATATTTTATCGTTTTGCATTTTTTGTTATATTTGAGTGTTCTTACTATTTTATGTATTCACTGTTGTATGATCGCTTGCGTGATCGAGCTTTAAATTGATTAAGTAGATGCACATTCTCTATTCAATCCTAACTATACCAAGAATAACCTAGTTAGGGTTATACTAAAGTGGCTCGGTCGTATTCCAAGGGAACCCTAACCTTACTATTACCTCGGTCCGAACTACTATCTAATCAAATTAAAAGTTTCGTGAAGAATCTAACCTAACCTACTCCTAAACAACCAACAAGTGATTGGGAGATCGCTAGAGATGAGACGGTTACATAGGGTCAAATCCTCCTAGCTATGGTTGTCATGTAGGGTTAAGAGAATGTGATGAGTGAACTCTTTTCCGTAGGCCTTCCTGATTATCCACACGCATCAGAGTACGCCCTACCTATCCCATTGTCACCTCGGTATAGGCTCACGTATCTAGGGCTTTAAGAACCTAGATAATTTCAATAGGTACTACCCATCGTCCACACTGAAGTTTCATCCCGGGTTTCATCTAGGAACGCACTCTTGTGGCAGGGGTTCTGTCGCTTTGTCCACCACAAGACCCTATTCATTGGAGGGTGGTTATTCTCCTTGCTTGCACCTTCCTCTTGCTCCTTGGGTGGATTGGATCTTCAATGAAGCTCTCCAAGGTGTTTCCCTCTCTAAAACACTCTAAAACCCTAACTTTCTCACTCTAGGTCGGCTCTTCCTTGTCAAGTGCAGAAAAAGGAGTATTTATAGGCTGCTGGCATTTGCTATGGCCTCGAGGGCATGACCCGATGATCACGGCCGTGACCAACTGGAACGTTGTCGACTCAACTGAAATATCGCATTATGGACACCATGTTTAAGATCCAAGATCGCGGTCTCCTTCATAAGGTCGCGACTGTGATCCTTGTGTCATGGGTGTGATCTTTTTCGCGGTCAAAACGCACCATGTCTACGATTCGGGTGTCATAAATTTCTGCCTTCTTCTTGGTCGCCTGCTGAGGTTTGCGGTCACTGTTCATGGCCATGATATTCATGCCGCGAACATGGTCACCGCCTAGTGGTCACGACAGTGACGTGTGGCCGTGACCTGTGCCTTTTCTCCCCTTTTTGCTCCTATGCTTCCCAATCGCGTTCGTATGAACTCCAATCGATTCCCGATCAATCTCAAATGCAATAGAGACCTGGAATTTCATCACAAACACTGGAAAAAACATAAAATACTACAAAGTAAGGTCGATTCCCCCATGAAAACCTTCATATCAAGAATACTTATGTCAAAATGCATGTTTTGCAAATAGGAACTAAAATAGACATGAATAACTTGATATGTAGCCTAGACACGGTGATTTAACATGCAAATGCTTGAAGAATAAGGATTAAATAATGCCTATTTTAGGTGTTATCATTGTAGTTATAGAATACACACTACTGTGCGAGATGGTACCGATACAACGGTGTTTATTCTTTTTGATAAGGCGGCTGAGCAACTTGTGGGAACTGCTGCTCCAAAGCTGTCAAATAGGGGGTCGTTTGGAAGTTGCGAATGTTAAATTGTTGCATTGTAATGAATCACAATAATGTAAATACATGTATTGGTACAATGGATGCATTACAATAATACATTGTTTGGTTGATGAGATTCTACTTGATGTATTGACTTGCATAAAGTTACTTTATGGGAAAATATCACATTTACCCTCAACTTTTAGTATAAGACAAAAATTAGTAGGGGTAGAAATGGAAAGACAAAGTGGACACAAATCTAAAATCAACAATCACAACAATCTCAAGTTTTAGTTGAGATTGTATAATGCATCATTTTTTGTGATTGTTTGTGGGACCTACCTAAAACAATACATGCATTGTTTTACACTTCGGCACTTCCAAACATTGTATTATGCACAATGCATGTATTCAATAAACACAACCCTAACAATCACAACTACCAAACGAACCCTAGATTCCCTTACTAGTGCGGGTATTTGCCTTCTGAAATTTTAAATATTGATGGTCGTTATTTGGAATTTGATGTTTAGCTTCCTAAGCCTGAGTACCAAGGGCAAGGTACGCCTGATTTTTCGGTCGTTTCTGTACCTGAACTGGAGCAGGCGACTCTTAGTTCCGCATCTTCAGTTCGGCGTTCGGTTCCATCATCTTCTACCGGGTCGGTTGTCTAGCTGTTGTTGTCTTTGGTTATTTGTATATAGGAGTATGGTGGAAATCGGTACGATATCGGTATTCCAATACCATATACCAAAATCTCAAATACCGAATTATACCCTAATCAATCCCAATCCCAATCCCTAAATAATTCCCGTATCCCAATCATAATCCCTAAATATTTTGGTATCTCAATCGGTATTATCGAATACGAAATTAATTACCTTTGTAATTAATTATTAAATATATAAATTAGATTTGACTGTTTAATTTAGGGCAAAGAGACTAAGTAAAGAGTCTTGAGTTTTCCTCTCCTAGAGCTAGGATATGGATAAAGAGAACGGAGGAGAGGTGACATCTCAAACTCTTGTCATTGGTAATATTTAATTTGACGAATTGGAGGCTAAGAGACGAATAATACTAGTGTTTGCTTTTTGGTGTTATGAAAATAACAAGTGATTAGGTGAGAGACCAGAGTGACTTAAATTGGAAAGTCAAAATTGAGTTGGATGAGGACTTCTAAGTTGTGAAATAGTGATGAAATGATCTATGTATAATAAAATGACACTCTTGGTGGTTGAGGGTCGTGTAGTAGTGAACGAGAGAGTCTAGTTGAGAGGATAAAATACACACTAGCTTATATTTCGGTATTGATCGATATTTTGGTATATACCGATCCCAATCTCGTAATCTCTAATACCGAATTACAATTGAAATTCAATCTCAATCCCAATACCAAGAAATAATACGTGTATTGGATAATACTAAATATAAATAAATTTGGTACAGTATTCGGTATATCCCAAATACCAGTAACAAACGTCCAGTCCTATATAGAAGGTTGTACTTG